ACTTCGCTGTAACCAAGAAAATAACTCTTTATTGGAAATACTGTACTATGAAGTATAGTTGGCTCCAGATTCTGCAGGTGGTCACGTATTTTCAACATTTATCAATTCTGATGGTCGTTGAACCTTTGAGGGTCGGGTCACACATGAGATTACAGCACTTTTTTTTGTAATCTTCGCGAGGGCATTGGAACTTCTGGAGGAACACTTTTTTCATTTCGGAGGTGAAAGGGATGCAGAGGAAAAGAATGATTTTTCTCACTTGAAGGCCGAGTTGATGCAGTACTTGGCTGGAACAGTCCAGTCCGTGAACCATGTGATGTGATATGTATATTTTTTTCTGTGTTGCTGAACGCAGAACAGGATTTTTGGTCGAGGTTTTAGTAGCCCGTGATGTGATCTTGTCAAATAAATTTTTTTTAAAATTGCCGGGCTTTTTATTTTTTAAATGATGGAATATGTCGTTGGTGACGTATTCCATCATTTAAAATCATGGTTCGTCTTTCTGAAGTGTCTTTAGTTTAATGTGTAGTATTTTCAATTGAGTTTTTGTTTTGTTTTTCTTTTTCAGGCCTGACGAAATTCTTTCGTTTGTTGTGACGTGATTTCTGATCTGTTATAAAAATGATCCGAATTGGTCGACCGCCGCCTGCGATCCAAAAGCCGGAAGGAAAATTAGCAGTTATTACCTCTTTCTACTACGACCCTTTCAAATGGTGAATAACGAGGAATATTTTTATCGTTTGCTCTGATACGAAAGTTGTCCCAATGCCGAGTGACTTGGAGATGTTTTTGACGTCACTAAAAATTGGAAAATGATTTCAAAATTTTCCCAATGATGTTTTAGGCATTTGTTATTTTTTTCTGGTTACAGCCCGAGTTTTCCGATCAATTTTATAATCTGCTGACAATTTTTCAAGAGACCTCGCAAATTTTTAACGTTACATTTTTTCTTGGACGTGTATCATGGCAGTTCATGGAACGAGATTTTTCCCAGAACCGCGAAAAGTTTGATAATTTTGACGTCGCTAAAAATTTGAAAACATTTTCGAATTTTTCCTCATGATGTTTTAGGCTTTTGCTACTTTGTCCAAAAAGTTGAGTAAACTGATAATCTTTTAACAAAACTGTTGATCGGAGACCTTTTACTGTCGAACAAAATAGAACGATTTTTTTTCATAACTTTCTGTCGTGAAGATCAGAAGATGTAGGCGACATCTATGTAACACCGAAGACGATCGCAGATTTGAGTATGTTGGGTGGTTACGTTGAAAGAAACCCCCCTTTTTACGCGCTAAGTATAAAATAAATTCAGCTGTAGAATAAATTCAAGCGTTTTTGCAGTTCTTTCAAAAATTGCGCGAGTACCGAAAATATTTTGGGAATGTATGGATTGAGTGAAGTTTAAATTTAATTTTCCTGTGTTTTAGGTCGTTGGTGAAAAGCGTGGGCATGTTTCTGCTTGGCGTGGAAATCGCGAGGCAGTTTGACGGAGCCGTGTTGATGCCAGCTGCTTAATGTCGGATTACGACGAGTCCCTGTTTTCCAGTGATATTTTTTCCGTTGCTGTTGCTCTTGTTATTATCCTTGGTGGTTTCTCTGTAGTCGGGACATTTTTTTGTAGAACGCGTCAAGAAATTGTGAGAGTAAAAACGTGAACGATTTTCACGATCAAATCGAGGAGAATTTCTTTTCTAATTTGTCGGACGGAAATTTTGCGCAGATGGTTTCTGAAAACCCTGTGTTTCATCTAAAAAATCTCAATTGTTTGCATGTAAAATATGTTCTGTTTTACATTTTCAGCAAGTTATTGTTGATTTATAAATTAAATATCCTCCAATTATGAGAGAAATTTAAACGAGATCCAATGAGTTAATTCGCAGTTAATTTGCGCAGACTGGGATGAACTTCTTGTAATCATGCAATCAGCTGTAACTTATTGAAAGATATTTTCTGTCTGACTGCGGTGATGCCTTTTTGGTGATTCGCGATACTTTTGATAAAAAAAAACCATTTGCAAATATTTTCAGGCCGTCGGAAACTGAGAAGGAGAACCTAAGTGATTTATTGTGATTTCCAGCTTTCAATTTTGTGATTCGAGATGGGGCGAAAACGCGTCGACTTTTTCCGCGAAACAGTAGGTGAATTGTTGCCGGATTTGCGGAAAAGTTTGGCTTATTGGAAAGCTCAAGCTTTTGCCTTGAGGGCAGAAAACGAGCGTCTTCAAGCCGCTTTACACGCCGTTATTTCTGTAAGTTTTTTTTTTTGCCTTGAAATTCTTGTATTTCTTTCTGAATATTCAAATTAATGTTCTTTTATTTCAGGGAGTACCTTTTGAAAATGTCTACGAAGCGAAATTCGCTCCCATTTCTGCTTTTGACTCGGACGAAATTCCGGATGACGTCAATGAAGAAGAAGATGAGGAACCAGAAAATATTCTGTTTAACAAAGATGATCTCTCAGCAATCGAGGAAGATCGTGAAGAAACATTAAATTCAAATTTCGTTGAAGTTTCGGAAGATCAAAATCCCTCTTTTGTCGATAAAATGTCGGCTGCCAGAGCAACGATCGAAAATGGAGGCATAGATGAGGAATTTTTGAAATTTATTCGAATTACGAGGGAACACCAGAAAAGAGTTGGTGAGTTGTGATTGATCTGAGGGTTTTGGTAGTTGAGTTAAAAAAGGGTTATTTTGTGACCAAAAAGTTGGTGATGAAGTGAGACATTTTTAATGTGTATGATTGAATGTCCCCATTGTGTTCACTGCAATGACGAGGTGTTCCCGTGTGTGTAGATGTCGCTGGTAGTAAGCATCGAATTTAAATTTTTACTTAGTCATTTAAAGTTGAAAATTCTTCTGTGTTTCTCTAATGATCACATTTTTGAAGCCTTATTGAGTCCCAAACGTTGATTAGGTTCTTGGTTGCATTTCCTATGATGAGGTTTCAATGTTGTGAGCAATTTTTCGTAAGTATTTCAGCATGTATTTATCTTGTTCCTTTCTCGTATTCGTTTAGAGCGGGAGAAAAACGAATGCGAAATCGTTCTTGAGGAAGAAATTTTCGATGAATTGGAAAACCTGACTATCGCCGAAGAACCGGAACCGCTTGAAGAAACAATTCCGGGCGAAAACGGATGTTCATTACTTGGAAACCCGGAACAACGTCAATTTAATATTGGTGAGAGACGCTGGTTAATTTTTCCCGCTGAATTTGTTGCGTAAATTTAAATTTTTTTTTTTGGCAGGTAGTGTGCTGAATGGCGAAGTTATTGGTGAAATAAAGGTCAATGCAGATTCTTGAAATTTCGCGAAATGCTGCGATTCATTTTTTTTTTGCGTCTGAAACGGCATTTTGCAGCCTTTTTTGTGGGTGCTTTACATTCGCAACGCCCAGAGAATCTCAACTTTCTTGGCCCGAAAATTTATTTTACGATTAATTGGTGCCTCGGTTAATGGACTTGATATTCCAAAAGGGGTGTCCGCAAATTTTAAGGAATGCGTGATGTAAACCTGCATGAAATAGCTGATCGTCGTCGTAATTTTCACATCCTCAGAAAATCCCTTGCGTGAGTACACTTATGCGAAGTGATGTGATATGACGAATCCGTAGGAGATTGCCTTCAAGATTTAATCAACGAAGTTGTACGGAAAATAAAGCACGAAAAAGTAGCTGAACGCTCGGAAAAATGCTCAACTGCAACAAGAAGTGTGTTTGTATTTCTTAATTTTATGTGTGGAGACGCATTGACGAACAGGAATCACCGGATCAGGTTTTCCAATGCTAGGAATAGACATAACTGGTTTCCAGTCTAGAATGAGAAAAACGGAGATGAACCATCATTATTTCAAGAAAAAGTCAACAGTTGATCATTATCTCTATCACCGTATTTACGAATTCGCCGTTTTCCTTGAAAATACAGAATATGCTCATTTCCTCTTTGATTATTTGGTGCGAAGTCAATGATTTTCAATATTATTAATTATGTTGTAATTTCTTCGCGCAAGTAGATAATTCCGGCGTTTTCCACGTCGGTGTCTTTTTTTGCCGGGTGTGCGAAGAAGCAGGTGTCGACGAGGCTGTGATTAAAAGTGTTTACAATGGATGTGCATCTGATTTATTGGGGATTAATCATAGATGGCGTTCGAGTCGTATGAAGGTGGCAACGTGTCATCCGTGTCGATGAATGACGCATATCTGTGGTTGATTCTGCTTTCGAAATTCTATTGATCTCAACCAGAATGTAGACGGGAGAGTGGCATTCCCGAATTCCTCAATTTTAGCTGAACTTTAGGTTTTGATTTGATCAGTGTTCCAGTTGAACGCTGTATTATTCTGTACAGTATACAGTACTTGCAGTACGCACCAAATCAAACATGTTGACTGTCTTATTTAGAGGCATACTTATTCCTCATTCAGGGTGCGATTGAGAGTTTCGTGATTCTGTCAATATTGGAGACTCGGCGTACAGTACTGTGTTCAACTTGTGGTTTTTCTTTCATGACAAAAGACTATATAATGGCACCAAACTAATAACAAGTACTATACAAGAAAGTATGAACGAATGATGCGAAGAATTCATGGACTTTATGATGTTCAAGTGCCGCACCTGTGTGCCTCTTGCGGTTTCCGAGCTTGGAAACAACTTATTAGTTCCAAGGTCATGTTGAAGTCATAAGTATACTTATACTCAGTGATTTCAGGTTATTCCAAGTGCAATAATTATTGACGACGTAATTCCGGAGTATCGCCTCGGCCGAAAACTCGCTTTCAGGTTCGTTATCCGAATATGATCTTAAACCAGTTCTTCCTTCGTGTTCCCGTGAAGTTAATGGATACTCGAACAGCATAACCGTCTCACACATTGACAAGAAACCCGCATTCCCAGACTGCGCAATGAGACAATGTTTCTCGCTTACATTTACACGTGTTTAATCGTAATTGAAACTCGAACCGAATGCTTAATCGAAATAATGTCGCAGTGGATTCTCGATCGGCTAACGAATGATCTTCAAGGTGGAAGAGATTTTCTTTTTTACTTTCCTTCCGTGTCAACAGTTCAGAAAACCAGTTCTTCTTAAACTGTCTCTTTCAAGTAAATATTGAATAGTTCGTCGGTACAGTATTTTCTCGGTAGCCAGCGCGATGAACGGATCGGTTTCTTAGGATGCAACGTGATGGTGTGAAAAACAGTGTAACACGGACAATCGGACACCCATACCCAAGAAGGTACTGTACGCGAATGCCGACGGAAGAAATGATTGGTGGGTTCGCATTTCGCTCATCGGTTTCGTACAATCGGCGCCGCTTTAGTAAATGGCATCTATCGCTCGTCAGTCGTGACTATTAAAATTTTACGGTAAAGTACTGTAGTACGTTGATTCAACCTCCCATACATCCAAAACCTCATCCTGCTGTTCGTGTGCAATTGAATTTGAATTATCAAAGTTGAACGCTGATGATTAAAGCTAACTGGGACCATGGATGGTAAAACCAAAGATTATCCATTATATATGATATTGAAAAACTGCTGATCATTTGCACATCAACCAAGAGAATAAAATAATCTGCTCAACAGTTGCTCACTCTGCAGTTTTCATATACGGTATGTTCCTTTTTTCGAAACTGTCATTCAGAAAATCAGGTCAAATATGTTCTATCTTTGATTTGATCAATTTAAATTTTTGCGTTTGAGGATGAATGATGAGCACAAAGGCCCAAGAGAGGGATATCATGCAGCTGTCAGAATTGATTGTTTGAAGTCATCATTGAGTGTAGAATTTAGGAGGAATGTTTTCATCTCCAAGTCATGTTTGAGAACAAAAACTGATGAGCACAAGGCTTGAGAGAGGGTTAGCAGCTCTCAAATTGATTGATTGTATGCTATGTAGACGAGTTCGGAAGAACTTTTCCACAGGATTGGACTTGAGGCTGGAAGGAGAAGATACATTTTCATTCCAGTTTGAACCTTGAGACTGTGACCATTGAGAGCTCATGTTCTTGTTTTGATGATGAGAAAGAAACCAAGTTTGTGAGGTCATACCTCAGGCCGCATATGGCCAATTGTGTCTACCTTCCTCATTTCAGGAGAAACCAATTCTTTGTCACAGAGGTCTCAGGGTCCTCTGACAGTCCATAGACCCGAAAAGACTTCTTTGAATCAAGACAAGATACTCGGAATGGCTTTCTCATCTCTTGACATTTTCTTCAATAACTCTTCATGAAATGATGGAAGTAGTCAGAGAGACAAAAGAAGCAATGCTCAACACCACCAAAATATGTTGTGAGGCAGCCACTTCAATACTTAAGTAAGTAAATCACTTCGTAAAAGTTTCTCATGTTTTTGTTCTCCCCAAGGTACGTAGAACAATGCCAACCTTACAATGTTATATCGCTTACACGATCAGTCGAAGGAGTAAGTAAGATTTAGAACCATAGCGGCACCCGTATAGTTTACAGTAAATCTTTCTCTTGCGTTACAATGTTAATTTTACCTTCATTATTATGCGAGGAGCAGGATTTTCTTCTTATGTTCCCATCGAGCTCTCACGGTCAATGCGAACACGGGTCTCGCAGTTGTGTCTGCATGTTCCTGTCTTCCCTGTTGGGTTTTTTCTTGAATGTGTACCCTTTTTTTCTTTTTCAAAAGAGAGGAGCAGGAAGAAGGATGAGAAGCCTTCATACGTGGCTTGTGACGCAACCGGCGATGACTTGCTTTTCCAGAAGGAAAGCTTTCGGAGGACGAGCCTATCACCCTGTGTTATTCCTTGAAAACTTCGGCGTCCGCCGTTGGTAACGTACATGGGAGAAAACGCATTTGAAGAAAAGGAGTGTGTCATGATTTTTTTTTGTGTCTGGTGGATTGAAAGTTGGAAGTTCCGAGGTTTTCCCGCCGTGAGTGGATTTGAGTCGCAGTTTCGCAGTCCTTTGAAGCACGGGAAACCAGTGATTCTGTACCGTAATGAGGAATGAATGCTTCGGAGGACGAGAACCGTGCTAACCATTCAATTCAAAACTACGGATTCCACTGTGGTAACTGACTTGATGAAAAAGATAAGCGTTGGAGAACGAGTGGGTCATAATAATTATTTGTTTCGTTTGGTGAACTCGAAAGCTTCCGGTTTTCCGCGAGTGGATTTGAGTCGCAGGTGAATAGTCGGGAAGTTTCGCAGTCCTAGTAAAGCACGGAAACCCGCGGTAATTAATTATTTTGTTTAATTCTTCTGTCGGATATTGAGAAATTAATGTCTCTGAAGACGAGAATCCCGTGTAAATTTTCAAAACTGGGGCTTCCGAAGTGTATATAAAGGAGAAAGCTTTAAAGAATGAGTGAGTCATGATTTTTTGGTGTCTCGTGGACTGAAAGTCGAAAGTTTCTGGTTTTCCGCGGGTGGATTTGACTTGCAGTTCTTTTGTCGAGAAGTTTCACAGTCATTTGAAGCACGGAAAACAGTGATTCTGTCCCAAGTTATTTGGTAAAATTTCGAGAAAATGAATGTTTCGGAAGATGAGAACCCCGTGTAAATTTTCGAAACGACGGATTCCACTCGTAGCAAACTTTAAAAAGAAGCAAAGCATTGTCAAAAGGAAGTGTGATATGATTTTTTTTTTTTGGCTTTGTGGACTGAAAGTCGAAATTTTCTGGCTTTTCCTTCCGAGAGTGGATTTGATTCGCAGTTCTTTTATAAGCGGAAAATCGAAAAAGGAGTGCTGTCCATCGTTTTTTCCTCTTGTGAAATAAATTCAAGTCCTGGTCGTTTCTAGTCGGGAAGTTTCGCAGTCAAGAAACATAGAATTCGAAGTGATACAAAACATATAGGGATGATGAAAAAGGAGTGCTGTCCATCGTTTTTTCCTCTTGTGAAATAAATTCAAGTCCTGGTCGTTTCTAGTCGGGAAGTTTCGCAGTCAAGAAACATAGAATTCGAAGTGATACAAAACATATAGGGATGATCGCATGCGCAGATTTGCGGAAGAAACTAGATTCAATCCGGATCAAGCACACGATTACTGTGGCATTTTCGTTGCTGTTGTTCCCGTAACTTAGTGGCGTTTCAGTTGACATTTCTTGGCATTTGTTAGTAAAAAGTTATTATAGTTACCGTAAATTGATCCGACACAAGGCTGAACCATATCTTTGAAATTTTTCCAGTCAAAAAATCGATTTTCTGAATCTCGCGATGTTTTTCGAGTACGGAGTTTATATGGCCTTGTAAGACGTTAACCTGAAGTAGTTGAATAGTTCAAGTAATTAGAACAACATTTATTCGTTGAATGTAATCTATGCGTGTTTCCTTCATTTGTCTTCAGCTTAACTCATTCGGAAATGCGAGTCAACATGATTAAAGAAATTCGACATTTTTAGAACCAAGATTTTAAGCACCTGTCTAACTGTCTTAGTTCAAGTAATATTTCACCCGAATCACTGTATCCTTGTTTTTTTTTTCATGGACTCAATGGCTTTGCTGTGGGAGATTTTACCTGCATTGATTATTTTCTCAATGTGTATATGTTATTCCTGTGCTGCTCGGGTGAAACAACTGCCAGGGTTCAAGTTGTACCCCCCCCCCCCACCACCCCCCCCCCCCCCCCCCCCCCTGGAACATAAGAAGAAAATCCTGCTCCTCGCATAATAATGAAGGTAAAATTAACATTGTAACGCAAGAGAAAGATTTACTGTAAACTATACGGGTGCCGCTATGGTTCTAAATCTTACTTACTCCTTCTGAGATACAAGAGTTTCAGGGTTAATTTGTTCCTTGAAATGTGGGATGGGATGCATTCCTTGACATATAGGGAGAACTCTGGGATGTCAGTTGGTGCTCCATCTGGAAGCTCACAAGACCTTTTTTCATTCATGGCTTGTGTGAGGTGGTTTTTTTTTTATATCCAATTGATATCCAGTGACAGTTGTTCTTGCCAAAAACAAAACAAGAATGTAGAACAGTACTTTCTACACCAGTTTCTTAGTGTAAGAGAAGGTGAACTTGGATGAAGTGTCTCAAAATGGTCAGAGCTAGAAGATGAGATTTAACAATAATGATATTGTCTATAATGATTTTCTCTACATGATACACTTGTTTTGTCCCATAGGATTCTCTCCCA